AGTCACTTCATTGACATCCTACAGAAATAAATATAATACTTGACATTTATTATATTGACATGTTTTACGTAATGATGATATCCAATTAGTCACTTCATTGACATCCTACAGAAATAAATATAATACTTGACATTTATTATATTGACATGTTTTACTTAATGATGATATCCAATTAGTCACTTCATTGACATCCTACAGAAATAAATATAATACTTGACATTTATTATATTGACATGTTTTACGTAATGATGATATCCAATTAGTCACTTCATTGACATCCTACAGAAATAAATATAATACTTGACATTTATTATATTGACATGTTTTACATAATGATGATATCCAATTAGTCACTTCATTGACATCCTACAGAAATAAATATAATACTTGACATTTATTATATTGACATGTTTTACATAATGATGATATCCAATTAGTCACTTCATTGACATCCTACAGAAATAAATATAATACTTGACATTTATTATATTGACATGTTTTACGTAATGATGATATCCAATTAGTCACTTCATTGACATCCTACAGAAATAAATATAATACTTGACATTTATTATATTGACATGTTTTACATAATGATGATATCCAATTAGTCACTTCATTGACATCCTACAGAAATAAATATAATACTTGACATTTATTATATTGACATGTTTTACTTAATGATGATATCCAATTAGTCACTTCATTGACATCCTACAGAAATAAATATAATACTTGACATTCATTATATTGACATGTTTAACGTAATGATGATATCCAATTAGTCACTTCATTGACATCCTACAGAAATAAATATAATACTTGACATTTATTATATTGACATGTTTTACATAATGATGATATCCAATTAGTCACTTCATTGACATCCTACAGAAATAAATATAATACTTGACATTCATTATATTGACATGTTTTACTTAATGATGATATCCAATTAGTCACTTCATTGACATCCTACAGAAATATATATAATACTTGACATTCATTATATTGACATGTTTTACGTAATGATGATATCCAATTAGTCACTTCATTGACATCCTACAGAAATAAATATAATACTTGACATTTATTATATTGACATGTTTTACATAATGATGATATCCAATTAGTCACTTCATTGACATCCTACAGAAATAAATATAATACTTGACATTTATTATAATATTGACATGTTTTACATAATGATGATATCCAATTAGTCACTTCATTG